GAGCCACCTCCGGGGACTCGCCCTTCTCTTGGATGCGATAGAGGGCACGCTCCAAATTCAGCCAGAAAGAGATTTCCTAGAAAGATTCATGGTTAGACATCTTAAATTCGCTTTCCATAATTCATATTGCTCACCTGCAGCGCAGTGCCCGAGCCGGGATCACGATTCAGCTTGGTGACCTTCTTGATTTCGGTGATCCAGCGATTGACGCCGTTCTGCAGCTGATTGAGAAACGAAGAGTCCTCCACCTTGTCGCCAAAGTCCACCACCTTGGCCTTGCGCCCATCATCCGCGCACTTGCGGATTACTGAGTTGACGGTCGGATGTGCCGTCAGGGTAATCTCTGGGATGTCAATGTTCTGCTGCAAGTGCAGCAGTCCCATCTCCAGCTCCGCCAGCTTCTTTTCCACCGACGGGGCCATCTTGTCGCCATCGCGGTCAGCACGGCCCGACTCCTTGACATACGACTTGAAGTAGGGGGCCAGGGACTTGCTGATGAACGCGTGCAGCGTCTCGTACGGGGAGCCATCGGAGAAGTTGATTAGCCGCAGCTGGGAGTGAATCGACTTGTCCGCCTCCACCACAACGCCGCGCTTGATGCATGCCAGCGAGGCCATGCGGCTGTTGGTGAAGTGTACGTCATTGCTGATTTGGTACGCCACCTGCTCCTTCTCCTCCTCCCCCTCCGCGGGCTGTTCGCTGTCGTCCTCTGCAAGAATCAAAGAAAAACAATCATTCGTGTGGCTGCTATCGCAATGTTTCATTCACCCACATTTCACGGCCTCGTCGCCTATCTGGCCGTGAGGCTCAATGGCGTGGCACTGACATCATTTCATTACCAAGGCGTCTCCTTCAAAACGTTCAGCGGCCAAGGGAAAAACCTTCAAAATTCGTACAGCCAAGGCTGGACCTTGCTCCCACATTTGTTGGCCCCGATGCCAATGTCAATGACAACGCTCAATGCCGCAAGTCAATGGAATGAGCCCCAAGGTCGCTCGACTCCGCTTCGCGTTCGTTGCTTCCGCAAACAAACTTGTTGCTCATTTGTTTGTAAACAAACGAAAGCCGGCCGGCAATACACATGCCACAAGTGGCAGCGCTGTCAGCTGGATTTTTTAGCACATTTGCTATCGATGTTTTAGTCGTGAGTCACGATGTGCGCTGACGTCATGCGCATGAACAAGTTTTGGAAAAAAGCTAAACAACAACAAAAACTTGCATTGATTTATAACAAAATCTTTGCAGACTTTGTTTAACAAAAAGAGTGACTCATTATGGTTTTAGGGAATATAATCTTAGGCGTGGGCTTCTGATCGGACTACTTTACATGTAATTTATAGACTTTCTCCTGGCAGAGGGAACGCCATTTTGTGCAATTCTTTTGCATTGGCACTCCCCCCTTTTGCAAACGTTGCAAGAAAATGTGTTCTCACCTTTAATGCAGTTCCGCTGCACATACAGGGCCTGCACTTGGGGATCCGAGAGGAACTTTCTGATAGTCTCCTGGTTGATTGGATCGTCCAGGGCTTTATTCAGAGATTGCGGCACCACTTCGTCATCGGGCAGCAAGATGGTCACTGCCTTCCGCAGATAATTTGCAAATGCATCGTAGTTGGCTATTGATACATTCACGCCGGGGTCCACCGATGTATCGGGGTTCTCCAGGGAATCACCCATGTTCACCAATGGTTTTTAAAACAAAAATTCACGATTTAATGTGCACAATAAGATTTTTTCACGTCTGCCTCGCCCAGTGAAAATTACGTGTGCTGTGCACTTTTTTCTAAAGAAATGGCGTCGTAGCGCTGCCAGACTGTTGAAATAATGTGCTAAAAGCAAAGGGCTACCATGTTTTCACACAAATTACGAACACAACGCTGGGCGCAGTGATGCCGTATCGCTAGAGTTAGTACCGCCAAAAATGTTACTACCATTATGTTGTTTCGTTGAGCGAAGTGGCAAGGTCAGGTCTTAAAACAGCTGTTGTGCTCAAGATCGGGTTTTTGATTTTGTTATTCAATACGTGCAGCAGCCGCACAAATGAGTAATTTAATCAATTAAAACATACATAATGCAGGCACTACGACAATCGCGACCCTTTCGCGGCCTCCACTGGAGCTGTTGGAAGCGTTTTTTAACACACAGCTGCACCGGCAACGAGGTAAAAGACATCAAGTAAACCGAGGAAAGCAACAACCTAAAACTTATCTTTTCATTGCAGTATTTGGAGCTGAGCAGCGATGTGAAGCATCGCATAGAGAGCCACTGGCGGGGACAGATCAGTGGTGGACACTTTGATGCCAAGCAGCCGGCAGACAAGTTCTACGTTCTCTCCATGTTCCCCTATCCCTCGGGCAATCTGCACATGGGCCACGTGCGGGTCTACACAATCGCCGATGCGGTGGCCCGTTTCCAGCGAATGTGCGGCAAGAATGTGTTCCAGCCCATTGGCTGGGACTCCTTTGGCCTGCCTGCCGAGAATGCGGCCAACCAGCGGGGAGTGGAGCCAGCCGCGTGGACAGAGCAAAACATTGCACAAATGAAGCAGCAGCTGCTGCGGCTGGGCTGCTCTTTTGACTGGACCCACGAGCTGTCCACGTGCAGTCCACAGTACTACAGGTGGACGCAGCAGCTCTTCCTGATGCTGCACAAGCACGGACTGGCCTACCAGAACGAGGCGCTGGTCAACTGGGATCCCGTGGACCAAACGGTGCTGGCCGACGAGCAGGTGGATGCCAATGGCTGCTCCTGGCGATCGGGTGCCAAGGTGGAGAAGAAACTGCTGAAGCAATGGTTCATTCGCACCACAGCGTATGCCAAGCAGCTGCTGGACGGCCTCGACGATCCCACGTTGCGCGACTGGCGGGACATCATCAATCTGCAACGCCACTGGATAGGAGAGTGCAATGGCTACGCCTTCACGCTCCTCACCTCCGCCTCCAACCTGCTGAGGGTGTGGACCGCCAATCCGGAGCATCTCAAGGATCCGAATGCCTTTCTCGTGCTCCGCAGCAAGCATTATCTCTCCAAGCTGTCGACGGCGGCAGGCGGCGGCGGCCTCAGTGTGGAGAATCCCTTTGCTGGCACCACCATTCCCGTGGTCTTCAGCGACGAGGCTGCGTTTCCACCAGACTGTGATGTTTATCTGGCTGCTCCCAGCTTTCGCAGCGAGGACAGGGAGCTGTGGGACACCTTTGGACTGGCCATTTGTGCATCTGGCACGGAGGAGACTCGCCTCAATCCCGGCAGCTGGGAGCTGTTGCGGAAGGAGGTGCTCCAGGCAGCCACACGACTGAATGCAGGCGGCTATCGGGTGTCCTCCAAGCTGCAGGATTGGCTCATCTCACGACAGCGCTACTGGGGCACACCCATTCCAATTGTGCACTGCCCAAAGTGCGGCGCTGTGCCCGTGCCCGAGGAACAGCTGCCAGTGACGCTGCCCAAGCGGGAATCGCCGGATTCACTGCTCTGCGAGTGCCCCAAGTGCGGGGATTCGCAAGCGAAACGCGAGACCGACACCATGGACACATTCGTGGACAGTTCCTGGTACTATCTGCGCTATCTGGACGCCAACAACTCAGAGCGCATCTTCGATCCCAGCCTCGCTAGTCAGTTCATGCCCGTGGACCTGTACATCGGCGGCAAGGAGCATGCCGTGCTGCATCTCTATTATGCGCGTTTCATGAATCATTTCCTGAACAAGTGCGGCCTCTCGCCCACCAGCGAACCCTTCTCCCGCCTGCTGGTCCAAGGCATGGTCATGGGCCGCTCGTTTCGCGTCAAGGGCAGCGGTCGTTACGTGCGCGAGGACGAGGTGGAGGTTGTGAATGCCAAGAAGAACCAGGCGCTGCTCAAGCAGACCCAGGAGCCAGTTGTTATTACCTGGGAGAAGATGTCCAAGTCCAAGCAGAATGGCGTGGAGCCCAGCGACATGTTTGACGAGTACGGCACGGACACCACACGCCTGATCATCCTCGCAGATGTGGCACCCACCTCGCATCGCAATTGGTCGAGTGCAAGTAGGTCTCAGGGATTGCTGGAAGATGTTTTGGCCAACTTTAATTGTGTTTCCTTTCCTTGTAGCCTTTCCTGGCATACTCAACTGGCAGAAGCGACTCTGGCTGACGCTGCAGGAGTTCCAGGCAGCACGCGAGGAAGCACCCAGCGATGTGGAAGTGAATAGTGAGCAGTTTCTTGCGGAGGATGCCAAGCTCTTTGATGCACGCAACTTTTATGTAAAGGGCGCCACATTCAACTACCGACATGCGCATCAGTTGAGCGTTGCCATCTCCAAGATGCAAGGATTAACCAATTCGATAAGGGTGAGCGGTAGGCCACTCTCCAGTCTGTCCTCCAGCTAATCTCTTCCCACGTTGTTCTCGCACTCTCCCAGCGCACACCAAAGCACATTCAGCGCCATGGCAGACAGTTTGAGCGCGCTCTGGCTGCCCAAATCATTATGCTGGCCCCCATGGCGCCGCACTTTGCCTCCGAACTGTGGTCAAAGTTTGTGGCCGTGAAGGGACGCCTAAACGATGCCAGCCCGGAGCTGCAGTGGTCAGAGGATGTGCTGTCACAGCGCTGGCCGGACATTGATGCCGCCTACAACCTGGACCTCAGCATCAAGGTCAATGGCTTTGAGAATTGTGTGATCAAGGTGCAGCGCACACTCCTGGACAAGGTGACGCACAGCGATGCCCTGGACATAGCATTCAACACGGACTCGGTGACGTCGTACCTCATCGACAAGAAGATTCGCACCACCAACTTTGTGCTGTATCCAGGCATCGAGGCCATACTCAACATTTATGTGGACAAGGTGCAAAAGAAGGAGAAGCCAGCAAGCAGCAGCGCTGCCGATAAGGTTCTGGCGGATCCCTAGACTAGATTGGTTCATTATTAGATGGTTAAGTGGTAAAGTTTACGTGGAAGCTGGAACTGGCTGCATTTCCTCTAGATTGGGTTACTCCTTTAATCATGCTTAATGTTTATGTTTATGTTAAATATTTATAAAAAATTGGACTAGTTGTATGTAGATATTGCCTCCTGCCTGCCTGTATGCCTTACACGAATGGGATTGGTCGAATGTAAATGCCGCCTAGGAATCATAGGAAGTCTAAACTAAAAGCCTGCAAGTCTACAAAACTCCACTCAAGCCCCGACCTGTCTTGCCTCACTTCATCAGCTCACACATGAGATTACGCAGATAAACGTCCAACTGCGCGTAGTCCAGCAGCGTATTGCGCACAATATCGATGAGCATGCTCGGCCAGAGCGTCTCCAGCTTGTGCAGCTTCTCCACCGCATTGCAGGTGTTCTCCAGCAGAAGGGCAAAGTGCTGCCTGCCCCGATCCCTGGCACTGCACGTCAGAGCATTGGCTCCACTCTCAGTCGCTGTTGCGGCTGTTGGCGGGGCACTGGCGGCAGGGGCAGTTGCAGCATTCTTTTTCCACTGCAACGCTTCCTTGCCCACAACGAGACGCAGGGATTTATTGTCTGGCCGCAGGAGCCACTCCTTGGGCGACAGCTTGCTGGCCGTGCACGTTTCATCCAGGCGGAGGCGTGCCAGCAGCGGCTGCAGCATCACCTCGGGCATGGACCAGAGCACGAGATCCGAGAGTCCGGCATACATGGCATTCGCGGCTTCTACCTCTGCCTCGGTCACCTCCTGCCCGTTCAGCTGCTTCAGACCCCAGTGGGAGAGCCTGTAGATGGCGTACGCTCTCCAGGACACCTTCGCCGTGATGCCATTGCCCTCCGCATCGAGGAGCAGACTGCCCAGGCCCTGCAGCTCCGCCAGTCCATTCAGCTGGCCGAGGCAGCAGATGTTCGTTTCGCGGAAGACAAAGTGCTCGGCGTGGGGGAAACGAAGCTTGATCCTGCCCAGAATGGACACAATGCTGTTGAAGTTGATGTAGCTAAAGTTGAGCGTGTGCACATCGTTGGCCTTGGCCGGATTCCACTGCTTGTCGATGAAACGCAGCGCTCCCTGGCCATAGATGTTCAGGTAGCGGCCGCAAATCTCGATTAGGTAATCGCCGCCCTGCTCCCGCTCTCGCTCCGCTGCACTCGGCTTCGATACGGTGATGGCTGCTGCAGGTGTGGCTGCCGTTCCTCCTCCTGCTCCTCCCGCTGCTGCCGTTGCTCCGCTTGTTGTTGCTGCGACTGAGGATTGCCCAGCACTGCCGCTTGTCCCCGCCGTCGCTGCCTTGCTCTGCGAGGGGACTACAGACAGCGCATTGGGCGTGGCCCTCCCGCGTCCCGTGCTGTTGGAGCTGCTGCTGTTGCTGGTGCTGCTGCTCACGGTCTGAGCTCTCACCAAGCTCCCAGCCATGTACCGCTTAGAGGATCCTCCCCCGCGATTGATTTGCAGTCCCAGCTGCGTGATGGGCGCATGCCTCGGACGCTGCCTACTGCTGGCCGGACGACTGCCGCTGGCGTTCCCTGTGCTGCCCGTGGGCACTGGCAGCGTGGCTGTGGTCGCTGCTGACGGCAGCGACGGAGTGGGCGTCGAGCAAGGCACAGGCGTGCCAGGAGCGGCGGGTGGCGTTAGAGTAAGAGCTGGCGGCGAAGGCGATGGCGTCGCTGTCTTTGCTGCGTCTTGTGGCGGTGGCACAGGTGAATCGACTGCTCCTTCCAGCACCCTGTTGCAATTCTCATCGATATTCATTTGCGGCGTTGTTGGGGGTTTATTTCTGCTGCTGCTGCTGGCTCCTCCTCCCTCCTCGTTGTCGCTGCTGTAGCAGCTGGAGCACGAATCCACATTCGGCCCCAGGCTGGAGGCCTCCGATGAGACGCCCTCCTCCTCTGGCAGTTTCTTGGAGATGGGCGGCAGCTTGGTCAGCGCCTGCAGCTCATCCAGCAGCTGCTCCTTGGGCTGTTCGGACTCTGTTTCGGGCTCCTCGTTGGCAGTGCCCTCGTTGGACTCGTTGATCTTGGCCAGCTCGCTGGTGAGGCGGCTCTTGGGTCGGCCCATTGTCTGCTGGGAACGCAGCAGCTCCCAGTTGGTGCGCGCATTCGAGATCACCTCCTCCCGGCGAATGCTGTGGTACGCCTCCGAGCTGCCGTGCGTGGACTGCGCCTGCTCCTTGTGCTGTCGCCAGGCGAGCGCCGCGCGTCTCACCTGCTCCGTGATGGGCATCTGGCTGAGGGACTGCAGCAGAGGCAGATACGACACCAGGAAAGACACACAATCTCCAGCCAGCGACACGGGATTGTTCTCGATGGTCACCTCGAGCAGTCGCGAGGCGCGTGCAATGCTCGCCATGTCGTCCACTTTGTGCAGTTCGTTGTGGCACAGCCACAGGCGCTCCAGTGCCACCAAATGCTGAAAGCCATTGATGCGCCGCAGCTTGTTCCGCTTGAGGTTGAGCTCCCGCAGGCAGCGCAGGCCCAGAAAGTCCTGCTGGTTGATCTGCCGTATCTGATTCCCCGCGAGATTGAGGGACTTGAGCTGCTGCAAACAGTTGATGCGGCTGCCCAGCGTCGTCAGCTTGTTGCCGTGCAGATCGAGCACGCGGAGCGAGTCCTTCAGCGAGGCCAGTCCACCGATGTCCGTGATGCGGTTCTTGCCCAGCAGCAGCACCGAGAGCACTGGCAGGCCATCCAGATTGGCTATCCGTTCGATCTGATTGTCGTACAGATCGAGGAAGACCAGCTGCTGGAAGATGCTCCCATAGCTGGCACTCAGACTCAGTTGCTTGTTCTTGATGCTCAGCTGCTCGAGCGGGCAGCTGGATACCACACTGGGCTCCTCCTCCTCGCCCAGTCCGCCGCACAGCGACAGAGTGCTGCCGTTCAGGGCGCTGCTCTCGTCGCAGCTCTGCAGTATGCTCCCAGCCAAAGCTCCGCCTGTGGCCTTCAGCTTGGCCCTCCGCTGCATCAGCTGCTGCTGGTGCTTCATCGCCTGCAGACTGCTGGACATGAAGCTCTTGGACTTCTCCATGCCATAGCGCATTCGCAGCGCAGGCGGCGGCTCCAGCTGCGCCTGCCCATAGTTGTAGCCACGCTTGGGCAGCTTCGAGCGACCGGCCGCTCCTCCACCGTTGATTGCCAGCGCCTGGGTGGTCAGCGGACTGCCCGGACTACCGCCGGCCTTGGGCGACAGATGATTTGCTCCGGCATTGGTCATGGCACGCGTCAAGCGCGGCTGCTGCTGCTGCTGCTGCTGCTGCTGATGTCCACCCCGCAGGCCAGAGCGTCGCATGTGTCCGCCCAGATCGGAGCTCTCCTTTGCGTTCCCATTGCAGTTGTACTCTGAGGGTATAAGAGCTTGAAAGAGATTCTCCTTCGTAGAAGGATACATACCATCCCTTGGCGTGGTCATTGCTGCTGGAGGAGGAGCCGCAGCAGGCACTGGCGGTGGTGGTGGCAGCTCCTTGGGTATGTGAAAAGTGTTGATCAGATTATGCTGCAGCGAGAGCAGCCGCAGATTGGGCTCCTGCTCGAAGATGGGAATGGCAGTGAGGCCACGCCGATCGTAGTTGATGCGATCGGGCAGCTCCTCGCGCTCCTTGGCCAGCCGCTGGATGCGACAAATGCCATTCGGCTGTGGCGTGACAATGGCTCCGCTCACCAGCGTGCCGCCCGTGCTCCCGACCAGCGTGTTGGGCGTCACAGCAGCCGTTTGGGGGCGACAGTTGTTCGAGGCTGCCGAGGAGGAGGTGGACTTGGAGCGTTGACGTGTGATGGGCATGCCACGATGCAGATTCCGCTGCTGATTACGTAGCTGAGAGGCGGTGCCATAGTTGCGCTTCAGCCGCTGCTGCTGGGCTTGCCCCACCTGAAGCTCCGCTTGCTGCTGTTGCTGCTGCTGTTGGTATTGGGCTGCTGCTGCGGCCGCTGTGGAGGGCACTGGATGACGCTTCTGTGCGATGACATTGTGGCTTAGGGTGCTATGGGAGCGACCAATAGGACGCCGGCGAAGTCGTTGATTAAAACTAGGAACGAACGGTTCGATTTTCAGCAAAGATGTTTGAGGTAAGTAGTTCTGTTGTTGTTGTTGTTGTTGTGGCGACGGGACGGGAGCTGCAACTGGGACGGGTGCTGGCACTGGCACTGGCGATGGTGACGGCGACTCGGGCGACTCTTCATTGAGTGTTGAGTACTGCCTGCTGTGGCATTTGGCCATGGAGATCAGCGTGCGACGCCTGGCATGTGTTGCCGCCGCCGTCGCCGTTGTTGTCCTTGGCTGCCCTTGCCCTTGCCCTTGCACCTGCACCAGCGCCTGTCCCTGCCCCTGCCCCTGCACCAGACCCTGGGCCGTTGCCGTGCGTGCGACTTCCACCTTCGAGTTTCATAATAGTTCTATCCGAGCGAGCGATTCCGCAAGTGCTTCCGACATGGTTTCGAAATTCTTTCCCAATTTTCTCCTCCTGCCTATCCAGAGCCTGCGCTTCCTAGCGTTGCATAATACGGGAGTATGGGGCGTGGACTGCAGAGAAATCATTCAGTGGATGCCATGGACCCATGTTTCCAATTTACTCACCCAAAAAGGAGGAGGGAGATGCACCTGGTTTCGGTTATCTAATTTGCTGGCTGGACGTTGGATTATGGATTACACAGATACAGTTACAGCTACAGTTACAGTTACAGTTACAGCTACAGTTACAGTTATTGCCGCTGCTCCTCTTCCGCTTTTGTTCGCTCCACTTTCCACTTGAGTCGCGCGCTCTGGTTCCGTTGCAGTGGCTGCCTCTACTATCCACTCGGCTCGTGGTTTTTCTCTCTTCCGCCCAAAAATTTGTTTGGTTCAATTTTGGATGATTTTTGTAGTCAGTTCAGTCTTTTCCTCATCGAATGTTTTTCGGTCTCGGGCGCTGGCACTGCCACTGGCACGGGCACTGGCAACGGTTCTGGTCTGGCTTTGGTCTGCTTTTGGTCTGTGTGGTGCTAAAGCCTAAGCCCTCGTCCTGGGTCTGCTCTGGTTCATGTTTTATTAGTTTGTTTATTCGGGTTATACATATACATATTGGCGCGGTTGCCATAGACCTACCTATGGTGCAGTCAGGAGACAGTCGCTTAGCGTCGCGTCGCGTCGCCTCGTTGTCCTTATTCCACACACACGCACACACAAACACACACACACACACATACACACACACAGTTCCTCCTCTGCTCCGCATTTCACATTCAGTTATTGCCTATTGCCTATTGCTTCGTGATTTCTGTTATTAGTTTGTTTATTTAAAGCTCTTTTGGAGGCAATATGCAGTACCCAGTACCTGGTTGGGGCCCCACGGCAAAGGCGTCCTACTACCACATCACCAGGACGACTGACAGCTAGACAGACAGACAGACAGACAGACATCCAAATCCGCATACACAGTATGTGAATATGGGGCTTGGGTTTGGGCTTGGCTTGTTGCTGCTGCTTCTAAACATACCAAAACATTGGATTTACTGGGCTGCAGGCGGTACACCGCAATTACTAGAGTCCATTGCATATCCTTCAAATGAACGGCCATCGCAATGCAGTGGCATCAAATGCAGGCATTCGCTTCAATTTGTGCTGTATTTTCGCTTCTTTTTCGGAGATGATAGCATCAGTTGATGGCCAGTGCGTGCACACGATCAGCCAGTTTGGTTAATTCCACGTGAAACTTTATTAGCACATCGAATAATGATTACATCAATGATTTTGTTGCCGAAAATCAGTTATTATCAGCTACACATGTCATCTGTTAGGTTTTTTTTATTACAATCTTCATTTTACATCAAAGAACAAGCGAAATGGTGATGATGTGCACACACTTTCTCACCACACTGCTGATCGGTGGTGCTTTTTTGTAGTGTTCTGTGCATTCACCTTGGCCGTGCCCCGTGTGCAACTTTTGAAGGGAAAAGTCGTTTGCATTAAAAACCCATTTCGTGGCTTTTCATTGTTGTTGTTGTTTTTGTTGCTTGTGATTTGCGTAAGTCCCGCCAGCGCACCGCCAGCTCACCGCTGCCGCCGCCCGACTATCCAGAAAGCAGCAGAGGGAACACGCACATAATTGCCTGCCATCGTAATGGCTTCACGTGCCAGCCAAGTGAGTGGTTTTTGGTTGCTCTCTCTCTGCCCCCCGCCCGTCTCACCACCCGTGCGAAATATGCAAAAGTTAAGCGACAACCACAGGCACATTGAGGAGACGTACAGACGCGACGATGGCCCTGCAGCGATTGCAGGAGGATTGCGCTGCTCTGTGCTGTGCTCTGTGCTGTGCTCTGCTCCGCCACACACCTAAACAATTAGCCAAGTCCACAGCCTGGGAGCAAAGGCAAAGGTGGAGGCACGAACATTGCCTGATAGATCCATCGAAGACACTGCACAACAATTCGAATTTAATTGATGCCACTGCCAGTGCCGGTGCCACTGCCACTGCGACAGCAACAACAACAAATCGAAGCCCCGGGAGTGTGCGTGCGTTGGCATTTATGAGGAGGAAAGAAAGCTGTCGAGGCTCCTTTGGGGCCGCTTCTGCCTGCCAGACAGGACAATAACTAAGCCGTTGATTGGCAGGCAGGGCAGGTGCAAGAGCAGTTGCTGTTGCTGTTGCTGGTGCTGGTGCGAGACTGCGCCTGATTGCTGCCATTAGTCCTGTCTCTGCGTTCAATGAACTTTCCTACGTGTTGTGCAACAAGTGTTTGAATATCTTTGGAGATTTGACAAATTTATACTTTATTTTAGGCAGCCTTCTGCTTCTTCACCCACCCATTTTGTTACGTGTAAATTCCCTAGCTACTGGTAGCTACCACTAGGGTCAAAATGATTAATTCACTTATTTGCTGTTGTTCTTTTGCTCTTTGCTGCTGCTGCTGCTCTTTCTACTTTATTAATTATAAATAAACCCAGCAGAAAAGACAACAACAGCAGAAACAAATTAACAATAATAAAGCGCGTTTCAGTCTTAATGTATGATTGTGTGGGTGAATGGGTGTGTGTGCGTGTGCGTGTGTAAATTATTCATAACGGTATTATCAGCTTTTCTGCGCGCTGCCAGACTGATTAAATTGCCCATCGCACGTCGGGTGGGCCAACCAAACCAAGGCAACAACAACAATGGAACAAAACGGGGGGCAAAGAGCACTTCGACAGAGTGCGCCAAAAGCTAATGATGGCACTCACACATGCACAGATATTAAGTGTAGGTGTGAACTCTGTTTGTGGTGCGTCAACTGCAAGGTAGGGACAGCAAAAAGGAGAAGATTACAGCTCCCTTTAAAGACTTTAACTCCACGTAAAATGTAACTTGCGATCTGCCCTCCACCTTTTGTTGCACTTACCTTGAGCTGACGGCGACATTCTTCTGCACTCTTCCACTGTGCGGGCAATTTATCAACTCTGTCCAGTGACTCGTCCCCTGCTCTGATCCAGCCCATTCAGTGTGTGGTCAGGGACAATTGCAGCAGCGCACTGTAATTATTAAAAAGTATATATGTGCCATATATACTATAGCAACAACAACAATCGAGATAATGAGCCCACGAACAACACCCGGGGGAGGGGCGAGAGAGCAAGAGTCGGAAAGCGAAAGTGAAAATGTTGCTAAAGGTTGAAGGAGAGAGCGCAGACAAAGGAAAGACAAAGAGCAAAGGTTGAAAACGCTATCGTGGTTCTCTTCCCCAGTCGGCTGCCACGTCTCGTCCATCCGCTCTCTGCACTCGTTATCTAGAGCAGCGTCGGGCACATGGACATTCGCCTCACGCAAAAGCCTGCAAAATTAATGGCCAACAAGGATGTCAACAGCAGCGGCAACAACCACAAAGAGTGAGCGAGAGGGAGAGCTGCAACGGTAAATAGCGCTAACCAGGCTCCTGGGTTAAGTTTACATCCATTGCAGCAGGACAAGCGGACAACAATGCTGCAAGTGCAACACGGTGGCAGGGCAAAGGAAAAACTTTGATAAAACATTAAAGTGTGGCAGATGGAACAAAGAACCAAAGTTGCTCAAGAATAAACCAACACAAAAGGAAGTGTGAGAAAATCAAGCACACAGGCACTGGGCACACACACATTAGTTTCGTTGGAGACTTCCCCCCACCCAAAAACTCCTACTCCTTTGAATGTGTCAGAGTAATCGTAATCAATTGAATGCATGCCGCCACCGCAAAAGCAAATATCATCAATGCACTGTGCACTATGTTGCTGCGGTGATGCTAATATCGAAATGCTGTCAACCCAGACGACCGCAGTAATTGAAACATTCGGAAACAGTCACCCAACATACCAGTGACACACTAATGCAAACGATTTTGTACAGAAACTATATAGGTATGTGGCTTAAAGTGTCGTATTTAATCATATTTTGTTCACTTTGATTACAGTTTCAATCAGCTGACTGCAGTCTTCTGCTGCTTGTTCTTCTCGGAAATCGCAGAAACCTCGAACGTTTGCTGTGCTCTGTGTTGGACTCCAGCTGAATGTTGTACTCCTTTGGGTAGCTGGTTGGCACTTCCAGCTCGCTGCCTCCTCCATTGAGTATTTGTGCTACGTGTGCCTCGTCGATTGTGCCTTTGAATATCAAAGGATATGGCCATTCGTGGCATATCGTGGGACCGCTGTAGTCGCGCAGCGTCTCGATTAGCCTATCCAAGCGTTGCATCTCCTCGTGGTCATCGTTGAGGGCCCTCACCTCGTCCAGCAAAGCGGCCACATCGGATTCGAGCACCTGGATTCGAGATTCGAGAGTGTGACTAGAAATTAGATTACCTGCAAAAACGCTTATTTTGCTCGATTTGCCTGAGCAAATGTGTGAACGTGAAGGGCTGGGGTAGGGATGGGGTGGAAGCTAACACTCGTGGTGCAGTGGTGTCCGATGAAACTGGCAGTAACTACGACGGCGTTACGGGCATTGATAGCAATACCTGGGCAGTGTCCCCCCCTCAATCAGTCTGTTTCTGCGGCTCGGATTTCAGCTACAAAATCTTTTCAGGGGCCTCGCCTCGCCTCGTGAATGTCGGGTCTATTAGAACCCAATTAGCAAAGTCTCTGAACCCGGGAAACTAAGCTCATGTTCGATGCATGTTAGGGAGGCGCACTCTCGAGCCCCTCCATCCGCATGTTAGCCCAATGGCCCTACCGGCTTTCTCTAATTAGCGGTCCAAGTAATCACAGTGACCCCTTCTACCCCCCACCGCCTACACAATCCCCTTCCTCATTCGAACAACCAGACACTCTAACATTTCGTTCCCAATAGTGGGGCTATAATTGCATTAACAGATGCCAAAACTGTGTCGCAACTGTTAACAGCGGACGGCTATCTGGAATGTTACGCTAGCTAACAGCGGGTGTGAGAAATAAAACAGTTCCGGTAAAAACAATAGCTACACCTGCTCATGACTAGCTCAAATTAAATTTCATAATTTTATTCTGTCGATTTGATAATGTCACTTGATGCACCGCACTGAATTATTGCTTCCGCCGTGCACTTCTGCACCTATTATTATGCACTCAAGTGTTAAACAGATGGAAATCATAAAGCCAGAGAGGTGTGAGAGAGAGAGATAACGAAAGTGGAACGGAATGCAGTCAAAGAGAGCGAGAGCGCGAGGTAGGGGTAACATTTACAGCTGGCTTGTCCCGCTAACTTTCGGCAGCAGCAAATGTAAATGCAAACAAGTGTCACTCTGTGGTCGAGTGGATTACAACACTTGTTCGGCTGTGTGTGTGTGTGGGGTCAAGGAATGATCCGAGAGGGGACACAAAGCAGCAGGCAAGGGTTAGGGAAAGGAACAGGGAACAGAGGGTGTGTTCAATTACCAAAAACTCAATATGCAAATTAATAACACATTTTAGCACTTGACGTACACGACCGCGCAAACTTTCAACGCTGTGCAGCAGCTGCCGGCGACGCTGCACCGCCGTACTAATTGGCGACGTCATCTCGTTGTGGGCAGCGGCGTCGTTGGCTGGTGGCCAGCGGCCGGCGGGGCAGCAGCTGCCGTTGTGATCCCGTTAAATATTTAATAGTGAAGCGACGGTGGCGAACCAACCGACCACTGGCGACACTTGTCAAATTTTTGGTTCGTTTACCGAGAGCTTTTACATAGCGCTAATTTGTTCAAACTCTTTTTTTTGTTCCACAATTTTGGTTTTATTTTCCTTTCTTTTTGTTGGTGTGTTTGTTCGTCGCGCCTTTTGTTATATTTTTCGAGTGCTGTTGTTTTGGGGTCTTTTGGGGGCTTTTCCGCGGCCTCTCTGGCCCAGGGCTCGGCGTTGAATGCGCGGCGGCCCTCTCAATGTGTGGTGCCGCCGCCTCTCCCACTTGACGGACAGACAATTTGTTTACGTGCGTCAATCAGTCATATACTTATACTCTCTCTCGCTCTCTTTCCCTCTCTCCCTCTTTCTTTCTTTTCTCTCTTTTATTTAGTCAAACACAATCGCGAGAGCACAGCGCTGAATGGAGAACAAAGACTGAGAAACCCTTGACGAGTTTGTGGAAAAGCTTTTTATCGGTTCTGTTTTATGCGGACAGACTGAAAGTATGACATGATTTTTGATCGTTTAGAACCCGCTGAAAGCTCCACTGGTGGAAGCTTTAACAAGCAGAGAGATAATTCCATTGTTAGCTCTTTGAGATACACTTCCTGGGAGTATTGGAGACTATACTCCAAGATTTCAAAAGAATTTAGGCGATGTACTCGGCTTCCTGGAATACTTCCTGGAACTCTAAGCAGCTCTGGATTCGCGGTAATTGTCACTGTTTGCAAGTTTAAAACTATTAATCTAATTATTTTCTTTCAATTTCTTGTAGAACGAACCACCATCAAGGAAGATCACAACAATTTACAGCGACTTCTGGCCTTTGAGGACCGGAATCGAAAGGTCTTGGCTTAAACAGCTTTGCTTTTCGCCTTTGTTCAGATCCACCAATCTGCAATCGCTGCTACCGCTGCTGGCAAGCCAAAACAAGCATCAGCTGCTGGCCATTAAAATTTTAATTTTGTGCACCATTTGACGCCATCTTGGCCCACTGGGCACCATCAGTAGAAGCAGAAGCAGAAGCAGAAGCATCAGCAACAGCAGCAGCATCATCAGATAGAGAGCATCGCCATTGCCATCGTCATGGCAATCCCCGTGCAAAGCCCTTGGCTTGAGCGATTATGTTGATGGGCAAACTGGAGGCTGCTTACCTGCATTGTCCGCCCCTGTCCGGACTCGGGAGCACTTGTTCCTCCGCCTGTCCACCGCCCCCCCGTCGATAATACGCTCAATTCAATTTGCATATTCAGTTGTCCAATGAAGCGCACACCACACAGTAGCCTCTCCCTCACCGTACTCCAAACTCAATCCAATTCAACCCACTCTCTCCCTGGTCTTGCTCCTTCTCCATTCATTCATTCCCTCCTCATCTCACGTCCAAACAAATGGTTCGCTTTTTTTCCTTCTGCCATTCTCGTTGGCCAACTTGGAAGCAGCCGAAATGTGCCGCTGACAGCCAGGCACGCATGAGGAGATGCTCCAGCAGCAGCAGCAGCTTCAGTTTCCAGGCAGCAGGCAGCAGGCTCCTGCTCGAGGCAGGACTCCGCCTCACCTGCTGTTAGTCCATTACGTTAGCAATTTAACTTGCGCCACGTAAACATGATTATCATCTTAAGTGCAGTGTGTGTGCGTGCAACAGAAGCCAAAGTGGGGATGTGGCAATGGGTGAATGCATGTGGCATGCATCTCCATTGGGTTGCGTTGGGTATTAACGTTCACTTTGCTGTAAGTTGTAAGTTGGTTCGCTGTTTAACAACTTTCAATCTGCTTAAAATTGCAATTAATTTAAACGCTTTCTTTTCTCCATTATTGCCAAAACCATTCGAATAACAACGTGGATGCAGCACACGCACACACACACACACAGAACACATCCATCGCCATTACCCAATCCCGATTCCAATCCGTTTAGAGTGCTGGCTGCCCTAATTGAGCTTGTCAAAATCAGGCAGTCACCGAGCCACCAGGTACGCTCGTGACACCCATAAAGGGGAGCACACACACACAGCAGCAGCCTTGGCAGTGGAACAAGTGGCAGTTCTGGACCCGTCAACCTCATCATCAGGTGGCGGCCGGATTCTGATGCAATTGCTGCAGTAGCAGATTGAACCGCAGCAAGGATTCGCCCACGCATACGCCAGAGAGAGCGTAGAGACCGGCGTACCAGCCACCAGCCACCGGGGACCGGAGACCTCATCCCAGTGCCATTCCGGTGACAGTTGGTCCAAAATTGCAGCAGACGCTTGATTAATTTGGGGGCGTGACTGTGTTAAAACTTGTGGGCGTGTCTGGGACACAACACCATTTTGAGGCCTGTGCAGTACACGTAACGTGATTTAGGGGTATGTTGGACATGCCGAAAAGGGGAGAGCTCGGAGAGGATTCAACTGAAATATGGGTCGCCGCTACCCCAGATGCTATTCCACATTTCTATCAACTAAATCTCCAAAAGGTACCCAAAATGTCTTGCTCTTGATTACACTAATCCATTTACTAGCAGTCAAATCTTTGCCAAAGGGTATTTTGGTAGTCGTAACTCATTCTGGCGGAGATTACCCACTTAAACTCTCGCTCTCACTTGTCTCTGTGCAGTCCACTGACTGAGGGTAAATATGAAAAGCGAGAGCCAGCCACACAGCCAACACAGAGAGTCCATCAAAAACACAGACAGTTGAAAAAAGGGGAAGCCCACAGACAACTACAACTGCAAATACATAAATACATACATAAATACATACTGTACATGCATGCAAATATGAATACAGACAGACAGACAGGCAGACAGACAGAGACAGACACAAGGGAAAGAGAAAGAGAGAGCATCAGAATGTACCGTTGACATGGCCATTATCAGGAAAACAAACCGGAGATTAACTTGGCAAAATGTCTGCAGACGTCACAAAAAAGCCAAAGCAAAGGCAACAGTTTCACAGGAAAACCAGGATTGAGCAGCAGCAGGACGTGCACCACCAGATGCTGAATAATATATGTTTGAGTCGTAGAGATAGAGAGACAGCCAACCTGCAGACACACACACACGCATTTGGTTTGCGGCCCTGTAAAAGTGACACATGAGCGTAATAACAGCTAAGACCTCGGTCCTAAGCATCCGGCAGTCAACAACCACTTGCTGGATCCCGTATCCGTTCGTAGCATCAGCATCAGGCCTCTGTGCTGGAGTCTCCTGACCATGCAACCCCCTTTTTGGCTGGGACGCCGCTGCACTCAGCATGATTACAAATTACAGCGTCTGAGCAATCTTCCCCTTCCCCTCTGTGTATGTGTGTGTGTGTGCTCGAAGGGGCGGACTTTGGTTGCCGCCCATAGGAAATATAATTCCACAACTTTTGCCAACGATGACGACGAGAGTCGGCCCGGGGGTCGCCAAGCAGGAAAGGTGTGGACAAACGACTAACGAATTTGTTGTTGCTGCTGCACGCACTGCCCTCAGTCCACAGAACTCAACTCTGAAGCTCTGGATCTGGATCTGGATCTGAATCTGAATCTGCCTGTGGCTGCTGCCTGTTCCTTTGCCTTCTGGTGGTTGGCCAGACCTGCAGATGGTTCAGCACTTGCCGCTGGTTGGTTGACTCTGCACTGGAGTGTGGCAGTGTCCAACCCACAGCTCTCTCTCTCCCCCTGCTTAGATAATTCTGTTAGCTTTCAATGTTTTCGTTGCTCGTTTCGTGCTAATAACTTAATTATGCATTTTGCCTGTACATTTGCTGGAAATGTCTGCCTTTTTGAGCTGCACTTAAGATGGCGACTGGGCACCGCAGGCGACTGAGAATGCGTGTCCTGTCTGTCTGGGGGACTTCGAGTGAAAGTGAAGGTGAAAGGCAGCAGCCGCCTGGGGAGGATAAAAGCGAGCGCCAGGAAGGAAATTAGCCACAAAATACAAGTCCATTTCCGCTGGCAATTCAACCTCTTGGGCTTTCCGTTCGAAATTCCCTTGGATGTGATGTATTTCTACCTTTTTTCTCTTATTTAAATAATAATAATAGCGCTGGAACGTTTCCCCACATTTTAGCACATCTAAAACTTACTTTTACTACTACTACTCGTACCACTAGATACTTCCACGCTTTATGACCACTTTCGTACGTTTCATGTGGCAGCTTTCGTTGGGTGTTTCGGTGGTTTGCTGCTTAGGTGGCACGTGGCAGAGTGCGCGATTTTTCAAGGCGCAAGGTCAAGCCGAAGTAACCCACACAAGGAGACACACACACACACACACACAAACGCACAAAAGACCTAAATCCTTTTTGATTAAATTCAATGGTTTATATCCAATACTCGACCTCTTTCCTTTCCCTTTCCTGTCTCAACATTTTATACGCCTTTGAAACGCATTTTTCTCAGCCGAATCCCCACACACACTAGCACACACAAAGAGACATAAAACAAAATGGAGACTGTAAGACAGGAGAAAATAGATTGAAGTGTAATCATGGTTTTGAACTGCTCCTCCTCGTTCATACATTTAATCCGAGCCAACGTAGCAGCAGACAGACAGACACACAAAATGGCCAAAAAAACGACAAAGACGACCAACAAAAATGAGAGAGAAAGTAAGCGTTTAGCTAGGGTCTAGCTTCGGTCTTCCTTCTCTGCATGCCCCCCGCAAATATATTAGAACAAAAGACATTGTAATTGGAAGAGAGAGGGCGAGAGACGGAGGCTGCCGGCTGTGGGGAGTTCTGGTTGTGCGCTCAGCTTTTTGGGACACTCGTGCGGCGATGCTTATTCCGCCTGACTGATTGGCAGCTCCTTTGTCTCTGCGCTGCTCCCCACCTAGATCAGGATGTCTTCGAGTGGGTCTCCACACTCCGCACTCCACACTCCACACTCTGCTCCTCACCACTCTGCACCTCTGCTCCATGTGTTATCTAAGTTTGTTTGAATAAACTTGAGCGAATGTTTTGTAAGAAGAGTTCCCTTACACACAGAGAGCGAGAGACTGTGACTGTGACTTGGTTGACACAACTACTACAGACACACATATGGCTGAAGCAGCAACTGCAGCTAGGGGAGCTCCTACCCTGCCCCAAAATCATTGACTGACTTCTGGCATCCTACCCCGGAGAATCCTTTTCAAGTTCGTTTTGCATTCTGATTGCCTGGCACTTGTAACCGGAGCCTTCGTTTTGCTTCAATTTGTTTCGATTCGTTTTGGTTTTGGCCATAAGTCCAACTAAAGCCACTTGACCCGTGTGTCCAAGGAGTATCATAATAAAACGTATAATTTTCAGCAATTTAGCAAGGCCGGACACACACGCACGCAGGCAGGCAGGCAGGCAAACAAAGGCTTAGGTGGAGTCTCAGATACAGATACAAGCGGAAACGGGGCGAATGTTTCGTTCGATTTACAAAATAATACTTAATGACCGTAAAATGATATAGTAAAAGTCAAGTGCTCCATCGGTTTGCCTCCCTTTTGCTCCAGAAACCCAAGAGCATCGGCAGGTTTTGGGTGCCATAATCATTTTGCGGTTTGATGTGTTTGGACTTGCCTCAAAAGATGATTGCAAATAATCATACGATACAGCGGACAGGACAGAACAGGACAGTTGTGGTGTGGTGTGGAGTGTGGCACGACGAATGACAGGTGGGCAAATTGATGGTATTTTGGGTGTCCTTTTGCTTAAAACAAACACACACAAAACCAGGAGTCAGTTGTCGAGTGATATTTAATTCCCAAAATGACTGCCGGTACATATCTTCAAGTTACTACCAATCCGGTCAGGCACTCGGCAGTAGAGTTGATGGTAATAATCTTGATTGCTTTTCTATATAAAGTCTCGTTCCTGACGGAATGCTAAATGAAGTCTTAATCCTTCCCCTGCAATAAAACTTCATTTATGGGTACGCCCCACAGTTTAGCTGCAAAAGTAAACCCCTGAAAATGATTGAATATGTCAACTCAACAAGAATGTTGCTGCCGCTGCCGCTGCCCTCTGTCCATCGTCCATCCATCATTATTTTAACTCGAAACTTGAGGTATTTTCCACACTCGAACCTTATTTGTGATGTGTCTGTCTGTCTGTCTGTCTCTGTGTTGCCTTTTGTTTGTCTTAGCCTTTGGCGTTACTCGTTTCTCTCGGTACTAGAATATTCAACTTGTGGCGGGAGGAAGGCTCTTAAAATGGTCATAAAGCAAATTGTGAAAAATTATTGTGTATATAAAATTTAATGACATGTCAAAAAGGATATCCGGCATACGGCCCTAGAGTTCGCTCGCTCTCTCTCTCTTGTTGCTTCAACTGTGTGTGGCTCTGTGTGTCTGCTCTGACGAGCTGGACAAATGGCAAAGGTCCTGTCCTGTCCTGTCCAGCACTGGCGACCATCATATTCTCGTGGGTGGACAGGACGTGTAATGTGCTGTAAGTCCTGCCACACATGACGCGCTGACAATTTTAGTTTAGTTGTTGGACTACGAGTATTTACCCGGACTTCTTTTGGGTAGGAGAACGGGGGGCACGGAGTGACGGGGCAACGGACACCCAACAGAGCGACACACATAATCAAGAGCAACTTTATTATTTTGTTCAGCCAACAACAACTATATGTGCGAGACATTTTTATGCCCAGCTCAGTGCCCCGAGTCTCTCTACGAGTATATCTTTATACATATACTCGCATAGCTGTCTGTTGTGTGGTCTTTATGTCCGTCATCATTATGCTTTCGCCTTGGCCTGGCCCCGTCTATGGGCGAGTCTTTTGCTAGTGCTTGTGCTTGTGCTTGTGCCTTTCGCCATTTGCCATGTTCGGAGCTGCACATTTTATAGTTTTCAAAAGTCACAAAAATGTCAATTGCTTGTCTTGTGCCACACGCCTCCATCTCCATCTCCGCCTTCGTGGCCAAATGGCATTGAATAAATTATATTGTGGTCATAAAGTTGCAGCACCATGTTTACCCCATACACAGCAGACAGACAGACAGAACGACATGTCCCTGGCTTATGTCATAATGGGACTATGCATGGGTATCTCCAAATCTTGTCCTGGTTCCGGACTCATTTTATTTGCATGTGCAGCAGGGTACGAGAATGGGGACAGAGCTAATCAGCGACAGGAATTGATTTGGCGCCACAATTGGATCAACAGAATGTTCAGTCGCACACTCCAAACCGCCGCCGATAATGACCCAACATTAAATGATAAATTATGGCCAAGCATGCGACTGGGGGGAAAGGAACCTTTTTAATTTTAATCAAGCCTTGAATTTGAGGCACTGCCACTGGCTCTTGTGGGTCATGGCATTGGCCATAATTTCACTTTCATTACTTCGACTCGGGAATGTCCTGCTGATGCCCTGGCCAGACCATAAATCTATTTATTGTCTGGTTGGTTGGTCTCTAGTTCCCTTCTCGGTAATTGAAAATATTTCAAATAATTCATAAAATTTTTATGCGATTTTCCCCCCCTCGAGAAGTAGTTTAGTTTTTCACAAGGGTGAAGAAGTCCTTGTCTCAAGCTATCGGATCGTATAACTTGGCGTAGATAATTGTTTTAATGGTGTCATCATTTTGCACATTTGATGACGTACTTACCCGAAATGGTTTCAACTGATTTATGAATGTCTCCCTCCTTCGCCCTCTGATTATTTCGGGTTGTAAATCTGTTGAAAATATAAAGTATTTGTATGATAAATTGCATTAAAAATATGAAATTTGGTTGGGTTCTAAATATTAATTCAACACACAGAAAACCAGAAGACTTTGGACCAAGACTCTCAATTTTTTGTTGAATTCTCAGCTGCCCAAAGCGGGAATTTCAAAGGCAAACAATAGACCAAAAGGCGCATTGAAACATTGAAAATTGAACTGGAAGTTGTTCCCAACCAAAGTCTAAGTAATATTTAAATTTTATGCCCATCTAAATGTTAACTTTTATCTATTTCTTTGTTACATTTCAATCACTTTTTCCCCCAAGTGTACGCACCTTCTCCTGCTCCTACTTTTACCCTTATAAACTCTCCATGATTCGTGCCCAAAAGTGGATGATGCATCAGCGTATGGGGACGGTTGCTTCAGGGGCCTGGGGCCCTACTTGTAGAGAGATAGAGATAGTGTAGGAGGCCATACCATACGTAGGTACGTACATAACCAGTTCGCCTCGACTCGACTCGACTCGGCTCTTGAGTAAACGAGTAAATAACGGCGTTGCATGATTTATGTGGCCAAACAAAGCGCAACAAAACGAATGTTGCCTTGTTGTCGGATTCCCCCTTCGGGCGATGAGTGCTGTGCCCACCTGAGTGCCCAAATCGCTAACTGAGATGGCTTGGGTACGGCCGTTGTCCCTGCTCCACATAAACAACAGTCCCAACAATCCACCAATCCACACATATCCGCAGCCACATCTGCGGGGCTAACCACTTGAAAACGTTAAATAAGTTGTCTAACCACACATTAAACCAATTTGGCACTGCGCTGGCCGCCTGTCTGGCACCTTGGATAGCGTAGTTTCCTCCTCTGGCCAGGCCAGGCCAGGCCAGGCCTAAGCCAGAACCCCAGCATGGGCACGGCCCACACACACACAGAGAGGGAAGTCCCTGCCCTGCTGGCTGCCATAAATCATAGGGCAACCCACGTATGTGACTACTTTGGCTAGGGGATCGATAAATTATTATTAGTTGGGGCTGCCCGAGAGTTCCTTCTCTTGCCCGACCCACCTCTATCGTTTTGGTATCGTTTGGAGGCGCGTGCAAAGGAAGTTGTTAGATCCCCAAAAAGGAGCGCTGACCGAAATCCTCCTCGGCGTTGCGGTTCAAATGCCTTTTAACTTAACAACTTTTTTTGCTGGCCCTCCTGCCAACACTCCGCACACACACACACAAATCAAAGGGTGACTTTGTCCAGGGACTCGCCACCCACGGCCAGTGCTAGGGCCAGGACGCGGCAAAGGCAAGCCCTCAACGTTGTGTGTAAAGTGGACTTGACATGAGATTAACATCTTCAAAAGCATAGCTTAAAGTATTTGTTAGAGCACGTTGAAGTTGCGACCGAACGAACAAGGTGGCAGAAACAGGACCAGGACCAGGACCTGTGTGCTTGCTGACCCTTCACCCTTCTTTCATTCCGGACACTGTGCGCTCGCTGCTCGCTGTTGCTGGCGTCGTTTTTGGATAATTGCGTTCTTGTGCGCTGAGCCATGGGCTTAACTGTTGCTGTCATAACTAAGCGAAAAGGTATACAATTTATGGAATCGAGTCCCCAGCACTGCCGGCCACCCACTCGTGGCTGCCACCGCAGCTCCGCGACAGGTGGAAAGGGCCACAACTGACACACACACATGTATGTACATTTCTCTATATTATAACAATTTTCGTTGGATTTATTTCGTTGATTTCAATCGTTAAACAATAGCAAACAGAAGTCCTTCTGACTTAAAGCCTAATAGTGGGTGGTTCTTGGTGGGGCGGAGGGGGACAATGGGTGAATGATTCGAGTCGTGAACGAGCCGCAGGTACATTTCTTAAAGGAGCTTACAGGGCACGACGGTGGCGCAGCTTCAGGCGTCGCACAGTCTTGTACTGGTAGCCAGCATCGCCGAGAACAGCAGAGTCCTGGGCAACCTCCTCAACGGGAGCCTCATCGACAACCTCCTCAGCTGCGGGCAGGTAGTCGTTCGAAATCTCAGAGACATCACGACGCTGGCGGTACTTCAGGCGACGCACAGTCTTGTATTGGTATCCATCGGCAGCGAGAACAGCGGAATCCTGGCTGGATTCCTCAACAGGAACAGCCTCAACGGGGGCCTCGGTGACAACCTCCTCAGAAGGGGGCAGGTAATCGTTGGCGATCTCAGAGACATCACGACGCTGACGGTACTTGAGGCGGCGCACAGTCTTGTACTGGTATCCATCATCGGCGAGAACAGCAGAGTCCTGGCTGGCCTCTTCTACGGGAACTTCCTCAACGGGTGCCTCAGCAGCAACCTCCTCGGAAGGGGGCAGGTAATCGTTGGCGATCTCGGACACATCACGACGCTGGCGGTACTTAAGGCGACGGACAGTCTTGTATTGGTATCCATCGGCGGCAAGAACAGCAGAATCCTGGCTGGCCTCTTCTACGGGAACTTCCTCAACGGGTGCCTCAGCAGCAACCTCCTCGGAAGGGGGCAGGTAATCGTTGGCGATCTCGGACACATCACGACGCTGGCGGTACTTAAGGCGACGGACAGTCTTGTATTGGTATCCATCGGCGGCAAGAACAGCAGAATCCTGGCTGGCCTCTTCGACGGGAGCTTCCTCAATGGCGGCCTCGGTGACAACCTCCTCGGATGGGGGCAGGTAATCGTTGGCGATCTCGGACACATCACGACGTTGACGGTACTTCAGGCGGCGGACAGTCTTGTATTGGTATCCATCGGCGGCAAGAACAGCAGAATCCTGGCTGGCCTCTTCGACGGGAGCTTCCTCAATGGCGGCCTCGGTGGCAACCTCCTCGGAAGGGGGCAGGTAATCGTTGGCGATCTCAGAGACATCACGACGCTGACGGTACTTGAGGCGGCGCACAGTCTTGTACTGGTATCCATCATCGGCGAGAACAGCAGAGTCCTGGCTGGCCTCTTCTACGGGAACTTCCTCAACGGGAGCCTCATCAGCAACAACCTCCTCGGAAGGGGGCAGGTAATCGTTGGCGATCTCGGACACATCACGACGCTGGCGGTACTTCAGGCGACGCACAGTCTTGTATTGGTATCCATCGGCAGCGAGAACAGCAGAATCCTGGCTGGCTTCCTCGACGGGAGCTTCCTCAATGGCGGCCTCTGTGACAACCTCCTCAGAAGGGGGAAGGTATTCGTTGGCGATCTCGGACACATCACGACGCTGACGGTACTTGAGGCGGCGCACAGTCTTGTATTGGTATCCATCATCGGCGAGAACAGCAGAGTCCTGGCTGGCCTCTTCTACGGGAACTTCCTCAACGGGTGCCTCAGCAGCAACCTCCTCGGAAGGGGGCAGGTAATCGTTGGCGATCTCGGACACATCACGACGCTGGCGGTACTTAAGGCGACGGACAGTCTTGTATTGGTATCCATCGGCGGCAAGAACAGCAGAATCCTGGCTGGCCTCTTCGACGGGAGCTTCCTCAATGGCGGCCTCGGTGGCAACCTCCTCGGAAGGGGGCAGGTAATCGTTGGCGATCTCGGACACATCACGACGCTGGCGGTACTTAAGGCGACGGACAGTCTTGTATTGGTATCCATCGGCGGCAAGAACAGCAGAATCCTGGCTGGCCTCTTCGACGGGAGCTTCCTCAATGGCGGCCTCGGTGGCAACCTCCTCGGAAGGGGGCAGGTAATCGTTGGCGATCTCGGAGACATCACGACGCTGGCGGTACTTNGGCTCATCACGACGCTGGCGGTACTTGCGGCGCTCCACAGTCTTCTAGTGGTCTCCATCGGCGGCGAGATCAGCAGCTTCCTTGCTGGCGTCTCCGCGGCCACCGTCATCTACGGTCTCCCCCGCCACGACGCCCTCCGGAGGGGGCAGGTAATCGTTGGCGATCTCGGACACATCACGACGCTGACGGTACTTGAGGCGGCGCACAGTCTTGTACTGGTATCCATCATCGGCGAGAACAGCAGAGTCCTGGCTGGCCTCTTCTACGGGAACTTCCTCAACGGGTGCCTCAGCAGCAACCTCCTCGGAAGGGGGCAGGTAATCGTTGGCGATCTCGGACACATCACGACGCTGGCGGTACTTCAGGCGACGCACAGTCTTGTATTGGTATCCATCGGCAGCGAGAACAGCAGAATCCTGGCTGGCTTCCTCGACGGGAGCTTCCTCAATGGCGGCCTCTGTGACAACCTCCTCAGAAGGGGGAAGGTATTCGTTGGCGATCTCGGACACATCACGACGCTGACGGTACTTGAGGCGGCGCACAGTCTTGTATTGGTATCCATCATCGGCGAGAACAGCAGAGTCCTGGCTGGCCTCTTCTACGGGAACTTCCTCAACGGGAGCCTCATCAGCAACAACCTCCTCGGAAGGGGGCAGGTAATCGTTGGCGATCTCGGACACATCACGACGCTGGCGGTACTTAAGGCGACGGACAGTCTTGTATTGGTATCCATCGGCGGCAAGAACAGCAGAATCCTGGCTGGCCTCTTCGACGGGAGCTTCCTCAATGGCGGCCTCGGTGGCAACCTCCTCAGAAGGGGGAAGGTATTCGTTGGCGATCTCAGAGACATCACGACGTTGACGGTACTTAAGGCGACGGACAGTCTTGTATTGGTATCCATCGGCGGCAAGAACAGCAGAATCCTGGCTTGCTTCCTCGACGGGAGCTTCCTCCAGAGGGGCCTCGGTGACAACTTCTTCAGATGGGGGCAGGTAATCGTTGGCAATCTCGGACACATCACGACGATGACGCAGTTTTAGTCGTCGGACGGTCTTGTAGCGGTATCCATCTTCTCCCACGAGAGCTGAGTCGTGGGCGATGTCCCCGAGGGGGGCATCGAGGGCAACTTCCTCTGCTGGCGGGACGTACTCGTTCACGATCTCGGAGACGTCGCGACGGTGCCTGGCTTGTTCGACAGGAATCACTGCAGCCGTCGCTGCGGCAATGAAGATGCACGCTATGAAAAGTTTCTGCAATGAGTGGGGAAATGGAAAGGGAAATGGTTGGATGTAATCCTGATGGATGGCAGGTGGTCCTGTGGCTGCGATATTCACCATTTTGGGTATAGATCTCCAAGCTAATTGTTTTGTCGGTGGAATCTATGGGTCGAATGATTAATAGTCGCAATTTGTCGGCATATTTATACGCTCTAATGTTTGCCGTGCGGCGCAGAGCGTCGCGGCGCCAGCACAAATCCAAACAATGACCGGCACTTTGTTTGCCAGCAAACAGCAAACGGAAACCCAATCGGAATCCGAATCCAAATGACAGCACCGATACCAGCAAAACGGTAACAAAAGCCACAGAGCTCCCCGCCAGAGGAGAGCTTGGGATTTGCAAGCCCAAGCTTTAACATGCGCCACTCAAGCCCCAGCCCTCAAGTGCCTCCCTCCGCCGTTACAGCCTCTGCGTCTCGTCTTGGACTCCACCTCAGCATCAGCTGGAAGCCGGTTCAGCTGCTTGGGCACACGATATGATACGATGATTGCCCAGTGCGGAACTAAATGGAACTCCACAATCAATTCGACTCCACGTTTCGCTTTCATTTTCGTTCACATTGTTTTGGTTTTTGTTGCCTTTTGTCGTTCGTTGCTTCGTCGAATGTTTCACGGTCAAGTGCGAGCATCGGTCACACTCTTAACAAGATCTAATGCAAAAATAATAATAATAATAATAAGATTCGAACATTTAAATGACAGCGGCAAGTATTTGGCGTCGTTCCATACACATACACACTCGCATAAGCCGCATATACATACACATGTACGTAGTATTTGTTATTAATAGCTGCGCGCACATGGCTATCGGTAATTTGCGTACTGCCGCAGAGAACAAACAGTTCAACGAACTGCCTTCAAAACGGTTGGCTGGGAAAAGGTCGCGACGCGTCATTCGCTCGTTTGCGGCTAGCACGTGCTCCTAACTGCACTGATATTTAATTGCTAATATCAATTCTGATTGAAAATAAGGAAACTTGATTTACACAAAATGGTGAAATGGCAAATTACAATAGCACACATCGATAACAAAGGCATCGATCGCGAGGAAAGCACGACTCGAGAGATGGCATCGAAATATCGTATGGCAGGTGCACATAGGCTCATTGCTACAGATATCGATATCCTAGAAATTAGAGCAGGCAATAAGCGATGTTTGCACTGGGATTTATTTTAAAACATATATTAGAAATGGAAATAAAATAAAGAATGTTGATAAATTTGTGTGGTTTCTTGGTTGGTTCACCAAATTATTCAATTCAAGGCAATTTTGATTGAACAAAAAACATCGTTGACATATGTAACGATGTTGCTCCATCGCCAAATCTGCATGCACTCGATAGCTGATCTCACATCACTACCTCATCGAATCATCTCTAAGCGGTGAAGCGGCGTCCTTTTCTTAACTAATTCAGCTAATTGCCAAATAAAACAAGATCCAGAGCAGAGCGGAGCTTGCTGCTTGGGTTGGGTAATAAAGTGTATCCTGTTAACCCTGCCAAGCAGCAAAGATATCAAAGATTTCTGCGAAAATATGCTGCACAAGGAGCAGCAGCAGCAGCAGCAGCAGCCGCCGCCGCAGCGGCATGGGGAGAGCAGAAAACAACAACAGCTTACAAGTTGTGCGCATGTAATGCGCTGCCGGAAAACTTTGGCTATGAAATTCATAAACTTGGCAAAACAAGCAGCTTGTTTCTTCAAGCAAAAAAGAGTGGAGCAAGCAGCAGGAGGAGGAGGAGCATGGAGAGCAAGTCGCAGTTAAAACTTTCAACAAATCATGCATATGATGTTCTTGGGAGAGGATCCAGCAGCACTTTCACTTTTGGCGCAACGACTAATTAAAGGACAAAATTGGGTAAGTTTTGTCTGTCTGCTTCAAGAGTCAAGAACTCATCTTAAGGTTTTGCGTGCCCCACGAATGTGTGTCAAGTGGCAGTAAGTGCAAAACAAAACAAATGGAGTGTGCAATCTGCTGTAAACAACCATAAATATTGCGAGAAGGAAAGCGAGCGCTGGCAGGGGAACCAGCACCGACCGAACTATCGTGCCATCATAAGGAGAGGTGTCCCCCAACCATAAACAGGCTCATTCCGAAGAACCAGCTGAGAACCAGCTCCATCTTTATCGCAATCATTCACATCGCCACTTGTGAAATCATGGCAGGCAGGCCACCATCGAGAGAGAGAGAGATGAGTATGCGAATATTTTTGGAGGATGCAGGAATGGGGAGGGGGGGGGGGAATAAAGTAACCGAAGCATGAACATCCTATGACACATTATAATATATATAAACGATGTTTCATGACAATCAATTTGTTACAATTCAATAGACACACTCGGTATGCTCCGGCTCGCTCGTATGTTCTCCTTTCTGTTATGTTCTGTTCTGTTGTGTGTTGTGCTCTCATTTATGTGATTATTTGATTTGTGTTCTGATGTTGACATTCATACGAACAGCACAGGCATAAACCCCAAAACTTGTATGGAACAGTGCGGACGGAATCAGTGCTCCTCCTCGCATAACGAATTTTATGAACTAGAAAGTATCATTAATTTAATACGCATTCGCATACGCAAACAAGCACATTTGATGCGAGAGAGGAGCGGCGAGGGGAGTGGGTGTTCTCTCTGTGTATGTGTTATATGGTTTACTGAATTGTGGGATCTGTGGCATGATGCGTCCTGCCCTCCGTCCGTTAGTTATGCTCTTGATCATTGTAATGTAAATATGGAAACGGCACACTCTGTCCTGTAATTCTCCTCCCTGTCCCTGTCCGCGTGCTATCATAAATAAACATTCGACACAAACACAATAAATGTCAAAAAGTTTCGCCATTATCCGCTTGCCAGTTAATGTCCTTGTCGTTGTCATCGTCCTCGTCCACATCGTCGTTGGCGTTGTCTTGAAAGCACACAGCGCTTTATTATTTTAATGATTCTGCAAGGAGTGAGAGAGAGAGAGAGAGAGAGAGTGCGAGTGCGAGTGCGAGTGCGAGTGCCCATCCTGTCAGCACTATGGGGTCTGTGCCGCTGTCCCGTGGCATTGTGTTTACATTTGTAATTCAATTCGCGACCAACTCCACCATCTCCAGCTACGGCTCCGTCACTCTGCCTCTGTCCGCTGGTTATTATTTTACATGTCGTTCGCTTGCTCACTATAATTTATTAGCAATTTGCATAATTTTCTTTCATAAAGCATTGCCACTGCTCTCCGTGCTCCCCTCTCTGTGGCCCCCTCCACTCGCTTTTAATGCTGACATCGCGCCGCGTCCGTCAACTCTTTTGGCCCAGTGTTATGCAAATGTTCCCAACTTCCCCCTCCCTGCCACTGCCGCTGTACCGTCGTAATATTCACGAGTTTCTGCCCAGTTTACGGTTATGCTCGATCGTTATCAATGCTACACTTTGTGGCCCGATTATTGTTGTTTGTTGTGCGAATCTCTGAATACATCTCGAAATTTGCATTCACAGCTGCTGCCCATCGACAGATGCAGAGTTCGAAGCGCGAAGGTCTCTGAGATCGCACGGGCAGCAGCAGCTGTCGCTAAATGTTGGTATTTGATGAGGTAAATATGCGCAGAGATCGGGTAAAAGCTGTGCAGAAAGTTCTACAGAGGAAGAGGTTCTAGAAATGTCACAAATATTCACAGATTTACCCCGAAATCTTCACTTAAATAAACTCTAAATCGAGAACCAACAAACAGGAGCATATCCTGCTGAATAGCTCATGTATCATTTATGCAGCTGATTTCCTCTCATTAACCTTATGAAAATCGTTGAATTTTCAGCATCTCATCAGCAACAGCACAAGAACAACAACTCTCTGAACAAACAAAGGAACGAAACGAAACGAGACGAGACGAGACGAGGCGAAAGTATCTTTATTATCTTTTAGCACTTCAGGAATTGTTTTTATTTTTCCTGCACTTTTCTGCTCTTTTCAGCAGTTTTCCTGATTTTTCTTTTGCTGAACTTTTGGCTTCATAAACAATTAAAAATTAATTTTAAAACTTTTTGGCCAAAGATAAACGCAGGAGGGGAGAGGAGGAGCAAGGAGCAAGGAGCAACCCTAGAATCCAGATCCAGTTAGCTCATTAAACTCCGCCACATGGTCTTGCGGTTGGTGTCTGGGGCAAGTTTCAGCAGTCCAGAACTACTCGTTGGCATCATTATGTAATCTGTGGCTGGCCAGCAAGCATCTGCTATCTGCTATCTGCTTTGAAGTCAATGAAACTAAGCGAAAACTATTTAAAATACAATTTACTGCCAGCAAATCAATCGACAACGGATGGGTTTTGCAATTAGGCGAATCCCCCAACAAAACAAGGGAGCCAGAGAACAGTGGGGCAAAGCCACATGGTGGAGTACACAAAACACCCTGTGTAGTCGCTGTATATATAGACAGAGAGTCAACGTTATTTCATAAACACGCTCAAGTGATTTGGCAAACTTATGCCTGATTGGCCTGGCCTGTAACCCTGGCCCCTCAAGCACAAATGCTAACCCAAAGGCACCCAGCAAGCCTCCTAACCCAAGCCTCAAGACCAAAGGCTGAGGCAGAGCGAGAGAGAGAATCTCTCTCTGTTTATTTGGCTGTCTGTTTGCCCTGACGGCAAAGGTCTCCCGACTGCCCCGGGTGCCCCACTGTTTGACTTGAAGGTATTAGAAACTAATTTGTACAGCAGCCAAAGCAGCCACAAACGACAGTACAGTACAGTAGAGTTGAGTGGGAGTAGAGCGGGAGGATCGGTGGAGAGAGTGAGCATCTCGGGGCAAAGCTAACCAGGATACAAACAGCAATTGTTTGCCTGCTGTCCTGTCCATCCATCCTGTCTATATCCCAGGCTTTTGGCCCATCCACTTTGGTCTCTCGCTGCTTTCGGTTGGGCTTTGTATCTGGTAGCTGGTAGCTGGTAGCTAGTGGCAGCCGAAGACAATAAGTAAAAAATCCAAAGGCATTGAACAAATCCTTAACAATAGCTGGAACAGCAACAAACAGATGGCTAAATCATATGCCTCTACTGCCAAAAAGCGGCATAGACACACACAAAAAGGACAACACATACCAGAGTTTCGTTTCGGGTTTTTAAGTCGCTTGCGGCTTAAATTTTCTTAAATGTTACATTGTCTCTGGCAACGACAACGGCAGCAAAGGACAAACGACAAAAGACATACAGGACTGACTGCCCCAACTGTCGACCCGGACATGCCATCGCTTTTTATGGTTTAACTAAACAATCTTCTCATGAGTAAATATTTTCCGGCATATTTTGCCATCCAGCCAGATGCAAAACTTTACAATGAAGTTGGACTGCTGCTGCTGCTGCTGCTCCTTGGATAAGTTCATTTATCTTTAAGACTAACGAGAAGGGACGTGTGAGACGCTTCTTACGCGTCACTACTTTTATACCCGGCACTCAGGACTACATCTAGATGTAGAAGACATCGCCAACCACTAGATATCGTTCACATTACAGAACACGTAGTAAAAAGCCTACTAAATAAAATGCATTGAACAAATTGGATCAGTTAATCGTATTTTCCAATTTATGAGATATTTAAAACAGCAATAAAATTGGTACATTCTTGGACCGATAGGTTTCACAGCAAATTTTTCGAAAGTGTCGCCATCTATGAAAATTTCTTGT